AGTTACTGGAATTAAGACTTATTCTATGCATCTGCTCTCCCACAATATGGCGCTGGGAGAGGAGTAAACAACTTCTACACAGCTGCCTCCAGTTTGACCAATAACCTGCAGGAGCTGATCCTGCTCCTGATTGGAGGAGAGCAGCGTACTTGGCGTGTGGGTAGCAGAGTTGGGATTGGTGGAAGGAGGAGAGCGACAACATGCACCAGGAACATCTATCTGAAGGAACACCTGTGCAGCCCCTGAGAGAGCCGGCCGGCGGTGTGCCGCTCCCCCGCGGAAGTGGGGAAAGTGGCAGGGGGCACCGCCCTTCCACGGAGGTGGAAGGATTGGCAGCCAACCCGGGAAGAACCAGCAGCAAACCCGGGAAGGGCCGAGCAGACAAAAGAACAGCGCAGGGTCCTGTGTCGTTCCTCTGAGAAGAGGGGGAGCGACACCAGGGATCTTCATAAGCTGACTTCTGCTGAAGCCCTGGCTTTCCGCATTGAAAGCCACTGCAGTGGACTGGCCTGTTGGGTCTCTTTGAGGGAAGATCACTGTTTAGAACAGCCATTAATAGGCCTGCCGCCTATCTTTACATTGCTTTTGATGCCTAGCTTCCTTTTCCTCCTGGTTTTTGATGCAAGTCAAGGGGGTATTCAAGTCCCATCTGTAATCTTTGTGGCCTAAACTTGAAGTCTGTAGTCACAGGCATGTTCTGATAGTGGCTTTTTGTGAGGTAGACAATGCCCGTGAGGAAAGCTATGTCCTTACTTTAAAACTTCTTCTCCCTTTGTTTGGTCTGAAAGGGAGGTTTTGCCTGTTTACTGTGCTGATGGTGAAGTAAATCTAGCTGTGAAATTATAATTTAAGTTCTCATTTTGGCTATGCTGTTACAGATGTTAGCCATCCCTCTTATAAGGTCTAAAAATCAAAATGTATACTCTAGAGAGTCCTTCAGAATTGAATTAGTTTCCTATCCTGAAGAGAATAGAGAAATGAGGAAACAAGTCAGGCTTAAAATAGAGAAAGGGAGCCAGTCCCAGATCACTTACTGACAATAGCAGTATCAAATGAAAACTTAGCAAGCAATTTCAACCATTAGATAACAACTTAGGAAAAACATTTACCAGAAGGTCCAATGCCTTCTATACATTCTAAGAATACATGTATTCGGAAATATCTCTTAAACATCTAACATGGTATAGCTGCTTGTTTAACCAGCAAACTCAAACACAAACATATAAAAATGTTTTTAGTTTCTTTCTACCAACAAATTGAAAACATCTGATACAGAGATTTGGGAATCAAAATATGTCCCTGATTAATTTTAGCAGTTTAAATTTATGAGCAATTAATTATCTGAAAGCCAATTAAAACAAAGCTCTTAATAAATTTTCCCATGTAGACATACTATATGTGCACACGTGTAACCTAACATACAAGATAGAACAATAGAGCAGCTTCAGTAATAGTTTCCTAAAATCTTAAGCTGTTTTTTTTTTTATTACCATGAACCAATTAGAATTATTTTCTTCTCTTAGTGACCTCAATTAACCATACTTTTTCCCAATTGGAACCATTATTGGCTTCATCTGTTTACAGAGCCATCCCAAAGTACTGAATACAATAGAAGTGGCTGGAAAAAGTCCATCGAAACCTATACAAAACTGGATGACCAAAGACTTTAAATAGCCACGTTTAAAATTGTAAACTCACTAATCAACAAGAGGCACTTTTATATTTCACATAGTATTTTTGAAAGCACCTGTAGGATTCTATAAAACATTTAACCTTTTTAGGCCTCTGGGCCTTTCTCATTTAGATAACCATCATGTCCAGTAACACAAGGTCATTACACTTTTTAGCTTTCAGACAATTCTGTCAGTAGCAGCTTATATTATCAAAACTTAAAATTTAGCACCACTTCACATTTTGACAGTACTTTTAATATAATCCAAATAGCCTGATTAGTTGGTGTCTCTACAAAATGAGACATATCCTTTGACATTTCCAGGGGCCCAACTGGAAATACCAAAATCCAAATTCTTTGGAACTTTGATTTTTTTTTTTGAATGCCTGACAAAGATGCCAAGAAGGCTTAAAATATCTGGTTGAAATAAGATCCCTTAACATCATGAATAATATAGACCAGATTTGATCACTGTTACAAGGCAGTTATTCAAATGTTTTAGTGGTGGAGGTCAAAGACTTGATTTTTCCTCTCTGGCTGACTCATGATAAAACAAAAGAGCCATCAGAGAGTTGGCTACCTAATTTGTTTCTTGATAAGCAGAGAGCTCAGAAGGATGGGATCACCACTCCTTTGCTGTTCTTAGGGTAAAACTGCAGCAGGAGAACAAGGGGCAAAGACCAGTTGGAGGATAAGGGCTGGAGGGTGAAAGCAAGGAGAAAGCCATTTGCAAACTTGTGAGAGAGGGGAAAAAAAAAACTTGTGGGAGGGTCATTGATAAGACAGGGGGAGTAGACTTTCGACCAAGCCTGGTTCTAAGATAAAGTTGAAATTCCTGGGTGGGAGGGGATGGTACAGTGAGCTGAAACAGTGAGAGCTGGGGCTGCAAACTTAGAAGGAAGGGATTTCGTCTCAGGCCCTTGACCTCTAGAAGAAACTTTGGAGGCCAAAAGGACCTGAGCCAGAGAGCAGGATGTACACATAGAAGGTTTAGATCAAAGATGGGAAAAAGCTTGAACATATGGGATCTTCCTTTTTCCTGATTGCTCACAAAAGTGACAAAGCTATCATGGTTAGCGTTTGAGGTCTGGAGCCAATTTGAGAGGGACCATATTACTTACAATGCAACCAAGAGGAGAATTGGATGGAACACAGGAAGAAGAAGTTCCCATGGCAACCTGTAGTTGGATTGTAGGTATTGGGCGTCCCCGAGATCACGGCCATCTGACTGATGAGACAATATGGGAACAGAGGCCAGGGGTTGTCACCCACATGCTCAGTGGAGCCTAGGGCTTAGCCCATAGAAGGGAAACAGAAGGTTGAGTCGTCACCCACAACCACTGTTACCCAGATGCAGTTTCTGTAGTGGCACAAAGCTGTAGGAGTTGCAGTGCCCAGTACCGGCACTTTGAGATGAGAGCAGAACTACAACCCGTAGTGGAGGCTGCTGTGGGAATTCTCCGTTCCACGCCTTACCTCCAAATTTGGAAGGCTGGTGTGTAGATGGAGATCACGAAGTGTTTGGTGGAGTGGAAGGAGTTCTGGGAGTGGGTTTTGTGACTGGTAGGAATCCAGGACCCCAAGACAGCTCAGAAATACCCGAAGGGAGAGCAGAGTCACTGGGGGAGGCCAGACGCGAGTCATGGCACCAATGTAAGGCTGCCGTAAAACACACCAAACACTGGACTGAGGGAAAGAGTTTATTGGTGGGGAAACCCAACAGACCAGAGGGAAGGGGCGCAGAAGGAAAAGAGGGGGAAGGAGAGCGTATGAGAGACAGAGACAGAGAGGTAGAGAGACAGAGAGAGAGAGAAAGAGATCAAGAGAACTGGATTTTTAAAATGTTCCTTTCTCCTCAACCTTTTGGAAGAATTTCAGAAAGATTGGCCTGAATTGTTCTTAAGTGTTTGGTAGAATTCTTCAGTGAAACTATCTTGTCCTTATGTGGGAGTCTTTATGAATATGAAAATCTATCCTGAGGATAGTAATGAAAGCTGGCAACTCATTTTCCACTAAGAGATACATAAATTTCAAGTGACTTGTAAGGAAAGCTTTTCTTAGTGTAAGAACTGTTATAATTTTGGATTCAGTAACATTGAAATTATTTAATCTAATTGGGGGGTCTAAACACAGGACAAATGGTCAAGACTGATGTGGGTGATCTTGGCCTGATCACAGTGAGATAAAACAGATAAGCACTGAAATTCATTTCTAGGACTGAGGATCAAATCGGAATTCAGTAATCTGGGTGTCTGCTCTTTGGAGGGCACTTTTTGCCTTGCTTTGTGGTATTGTGAAGGAATATAAAGCAAAAACTCATATGTTTATACAAATATGCTATAAATTTATATGAATAAGTACATATTTTATACCAGCCAAATTTTGCTAATGTCAATTTAGTTGCAAAATAGTTATATGAAAATTATTGATATATTAAATTAACAGAATTTTATTATAACTCTTAGTAGCAAAACATTGGATTGGCCTTGCTGTGTTAGAAAAGCACAAACTTGGTCTGGTGTTGTGGCACAGGTTAAGCCACTGCTTGCAGTGCCAGCATTCCATATTTGAGTGCTGGGAGTCTCGACTGCTGCTCTTGAGATCCAGTTCCGTGCTAATGTGCCTGGTAAAGCAGCAGAGGATGGCACAAGTACTTAGACCCCCCACCTGGGAGACCAGAGGGAGTTCTGGGCTCTCAGCTTCTACTCCTACCAACCTTGGCCATTGTGGCCATTTGAGGAGTAAACCAGTGGATGGAAAAAATCTCTCTATATATCTATCTCTTTTCCCTGACCTGTATTTGTCTGTCACTCTGCCTTTCAAATAAGCAAATAAATAAATATTTAAAAAAAAATAAAAGTAGGAGGCTGGCACTTTGGCTCAGCAGGTTAAAGCCACGGCCTACAGCACTGGCTTCTCATATGGGCAATGTCTTTTGTCCCAGCTGCTCCACTTCTGATCCAGCTCCCTGGTATTGAGCCTGGGAAAGCAGTGGAAGATGGCCCAAGTGCTTAGGCCCCTGCACCCACAATGTAGTTCAGGAAGAAGCTCCTGGCTCCTGGCTTCGACCTGACTTAGTCCTGGCTGTTTCAGCCATTTGGAGAGTGAACAAGCAGATGGAAGATATCTCTTTGTCTGTCTGTCTGTCTGTCTGTCTCTCTTTCTAACCCTGCCTTTCAAATAAATAAATCTTTAAAAAAAGAGTAAAAAGTTTTTACAGCATTGAAAGTTTCAGTATTTGGGAATGTGTATTTTATAGGTATATATCTTTTTAACTTAGCACTTTTCAGATTGTAAGTATTTTAATATATTGTTCCTATGTTTTTAGTTACAGATAAACATCAATTCAAACCAGAGCAAATGTTATATAGATTTCGCTATGATGATGGAACATTTTATCCAAGAAATGAGATGCAGGATGTGATTTCGAAGGTAAGGACTCGTCTTGCAACGTCTTCAATAGCAGAATTCATGTTGTCTTACTAAAGAAAGATAAAAGACTGTAGACAGACTTAAATTCTTCTAGTTTGGAAAGTTTATAAAGTAAATAATACAAGTATAGCCTCTTTTCTTTTTTTAGTGTTCCAACAATTCTAATGTTAGACTATTTTTCTGTTCCCTTACATCGTTCTAAATGGAAATAGTGGCATTGCATCATTTAAGAGGTTATAGACATTGGAAGTTGTTTCACATGTAGCAACAGGTGGTTGTGATACTTGAATAAATATAAAAGATATATATAATAAATGTAACATCAGTTTTGTACACTTGGCAAAATTTATATTGACATGTAACAAACAAGAATAGACATTGCACTGTATAGATTTTTTTGTTTAAATTTTGTCTGGAAATTTCACATTCTAAGAAAAATAATTTAGAAATTTTTATTTATTATATTATTTGTATAAATATTACAAATTCATAACACAATTTGATCCTATTCCTTCATAGGTTTAAATCGTAGCATTTTTATGATAAACATAACATTTGAATGATTTTTGAGGCTTTAAAATGACTCAAGAATGTTGACAGTGAACTTCTTTGAAATTATCATCGCCATGATCCTTGAGTATTCTTACTTAATATTTGACATATATTTTATACAGGGTGTAAGATTATACTGTCGTCTTCACAGTCTGTTTACTCCAGTGATAAGGTGAGTCTCATTTATAAGTTCTGGAAAACTTAGAGCGAAATGTTTGTATTGTGTCTCACAAAGTAGAGAGAAGTAGAAAAGAATGAGTGTTTGTGGACTTTCTGCCATCTTCCTGTCACAGATACCCTGCAAATATTTTTGATAACTTAATAGTAAGCACTAAACTTGTAGAAATGGATGCTTACCGTTTTTTTCTGCTAAACTAATAGAAAAAATAATGGTTTAACTTTCCATTTACCTGTGTAGATTAAGGTTGCATGTGAGTGTAAGTACATTCTGAAAATACATTGTAGCCATATGGGACTTCTTATCAATAAAGTAATATTTTGTAAGAGTTGATAAGAAGGAGTTATTCTTTGGCTAGAAGTGACTTTATGAGTTGTCTTGAAAATGTCTGGGAAGAAGTTGTAAAACAGATGGAATGTATAATAGTTGTGCTTTTAGTATGTGTGAATTTAGCTTATACAGAGATAATTACTTAGTGTGAAAAATGGCAGTCCTACATATGATCCATAATTGATGACCCTTTTCTTTCTTAGTGAAGTTCATGGTAGCTAAGAGGAGATGGGCAATGACAGATTTAAAAGATAAAAATGCTGTTGATTACTAACTATGTTACTAATTTATTAGTTATTAATAAGTGGCTAATCTTGTTCATTTATCATTGAAATTGCAGAAATTTCAAGTATATCTCAGGGAGCTTTTTTATGGACTAGGTAGAATGATGTAAATATTAGTTGTAAATTATTGACCAAGGCTAAAGGACAGCAAATAGAATTAGTAAGTATTACTTACTTCCAGTATTTTTTTTGCAGTTTGGATTTTGTGACATTTTGGCAAAGACTGTCATTCTCTCATTCCCCTTTTGATCCAGGCCCAGAAAATAAATGCATTATAGATTTTTGCCCTTGGGCAAAAAAGCTTTAAAAAATTTCTCAGTTCCAGGAAGTCTGCTGAATGAGGAGGCCAGTCTATCCCCTCAATTCCCTGGGGATGTGGTGTCTCTGTGTCCCACTCTGATCAGACCTTATGTGCATGGCAAGCTATTCATGTGTCTCCTGCAGGGGCAGGCCTGCTGGTTTTCCACTACACCACGGCTGAAAATATACAAGGAATCCTGTCGTGCAAATCCCGTTTTCCTGGGAATGCGGAAGGGGACGAGGGCACCGTTTTATTTTTTTCCTGTAGAACCTACCATAATTTAAAGAGAAGAAATTCTATTTCATTGTTATTTCATTAATGAGTTATGTATTGCTAGCTAAATTAGTATCAGGAATACAGTGGAAATAATATATTTGGATAGAAAAGAATATGGAAGAAGAGAATATGAGGCTCTTCCATAATATGAGCTGTTGAAGGAGTTCTCAGCTGTTACACACGCTTTGTAAATCTCTCTTCACTGGTGACCTTTTCTGTTGCACAGTGATACTAAATGAAAGTGTTCTCTTGAGCTCACCATCGCCTTGCTTAATGTTTTTGGTTTCTTTCTTTTTTTAATAGAGATAAAGATTACCATTTAAGGACCTACAAATCTGTGGTCATGGCCAACAAACTGATAGACTGGTTAATTGCACAGGTAAATAGCAAAACAGATGCCACTGAGCTTTTTTTAAATTCCTTGCTGCCTTAGACTTTGAGCATGTGAGTTCTGCATTTTTCATGATAGCTGCCTGTAGATGAATCACAGTGAAGTAACTCGCTTGGGTTCATACAACTAATATGAAACAGATTCAGGATTTGAACCTAGATAATCTGAATTCTGTCAAACTTGATTTTTATGCTGTCTTGTCTTTCAAAAGGAAAGTGTCCCTATTTTTTAAATATCATCTGAAATTCATCAAAAAATGCTAAGCACTGGTTTATCATTGAAGAAAGCTGTCCTCATATTACTAAAATTGTTTGCTTTTTTTTACTAACTTACTTTAAATTATCTATTAGTCCTAGCAAGTTATACTAATGTCTCTGCACTTTTCTCTGTTAGATAATAAGTGTACTTTGCTAACATGAGTTTTAATATCTGTCTACAACCATTTTAACTAGGAAAGCACAGCTTTGATTATTGTTCCTGTTTCATCACTTCTTGGAATTTGGATGCTGACTGCTAGCTACTCAGTGAACCAAATTAGAATATCTAGCTTATCATAATAGATATTAAAATATATATTTGAATGTTTTCTCATACTAAGTCAACTAATAAATGACCGAATGCTTTCCATCTGTTAAAGAAAAGGCTAAGAAAACCAATATCCACTTTAAGTAAACTTATTGTTTTGGAGGAGGGAATATTGCTTAGTTGAAATTACATTGCTACACTTAGATATTTGAGTCAACTTCATAAGCAGTTTGACTTTCTTCTTTTTAAAGCTAGTGGCTTACCTTTTTGTTACAAGTAGATAATAGCATTTGCTATTTCATCATGAAATGTCTACTTTTATCTTGTTAATATTTAATCCATATTTGGTTTATCTGAACACATATATTGAGTTCTTTATTCTTCAATATTCATTTCTAGACTGTTCAAGACAACCTAACTTTGTATGTTATAGGAGCTGATTTAAATATATCTAGAAGCTAAGGTTATAGATGAGAACCAATCATTACTTTTGGATAAAACTGATTCATGCTTCCAGTGGCTGTCCTAGACTCAGAACTTTATCACACTCTGGCCAATGTGTGTCACTAGAATCAGTGCCATGGTCAGAATGGGACTTGAAATTTTCACATGAACCTTTCCAATATGTTGATTGTATGAGAAAATGAAGGGAATTGATTTGAAGCAAAAGGCTTTGCTGAGCCAACATTTAATATTTTAATCAGGAAGTCAGTTATCAGTTATCATAATTTTTAGGCATTTTTGCTTTCCTAGGGTAAGTGTTAGAGAACAAAATAAGCAGCTAAGATACTGGGCCAAATTGCAAATTATTTTTGTCTTCAGTTTTTGTTAGTGGTCTGTTATCACAGTTTCTATAGAAATTGTATGTAGCAGAAATTGCTGTAGACTTTCTCAAGTAATGTGGTATCTGATGCCAGCTCTGCTGATAACTAGTTATGCAAACTTGGACAAGTTACTCCATCTCTGTTAGTATTCACATCTGTTCTGTATTTTCTGTAATAGCTGTGCATGTCATCTCTTGTCTATCAATGAAGATTTATGGTTTGGATATTGTAAAATAGGTCAAAATTTAAGTATCAGACACCATTTTTATTCCTTCACTTTATTTTTAAGCTACTTTCTTATTTTTTAATATTAGCTTGCTCTTCATTTTTTTATTATTTACTTTTATTTGAAAGGCAGAGTTACTGAGAGAGGGAGAGACACAGTGAGGCCTTCCATCCACTGGTTCACTGCCCAAACGGCACCAATGGCCTGAGCTGGGCTGAAAGCCAGGAACCAGCAGCTTCATTCAGGTCTCCCACATGAGTGCAGGGGCCCAAGCACTCGGGCCATCTTCCACTGCTTTCTCAGGCACATTAGTAGAGAGCTGGATTGGAAGTGGAATAACCAGGACCTGAACTGGTGCCTATATGAGATGCTGGTGTGGCAGGTGGAGGCTTAACCTACCGTACCAGAGTGCTGGCCCCATTGCTTATAAAAGGACAACATGGGATGCCTTGGAAGAAGAATACATAATAATGAAATGATAAGAGAACAAGTTAAAGTTGTTAATCTGTTATTAAGAAAAGATTTTCAAAAAGAAAGCATTTCTTTCAGCAACACTCTCAAAAAATGATTTCCAGTACTAACCAAAACATTGAGTTGATTTGATTAGCTCTAGAGAACAGAATAAAGACCAGATCCCCTTCAATTGTCTATAGATTGTTTAGGAATATATTCCAGATCCCAAAGTGTTTCTCTGATTTTGCACTGTATTTTGTTGTCATATTGGAAAATATAATGACTCTGATTTTCTTCTTAGTACATTTTTTCACTTGCTGTTGTGTGGCTTCTAGTTGGTAAAGTTCACTTCTTGACAAATGCATCACATACTTCTAAAACGCCATTCTATTTGTATAGGTTTTAATTTCACATTTCATAATTAAGCAGCACCTTGCTTTGTCTCAAATATGCAGTTCTTAGTGTACTTTTTAAATTCTCAACAGGTCTATGTGGTACATGAAGGATTTTTGAAGATGTAAGGGCACCATTGCAGTGTAACTCATGTCTTTTACACCAGTGTGTTCTATGTCATATTAGTCTGGCCAGCGTAGTATTTGAATAATTCATTAAGTAAAACAATCAAATATCAGTTAGTGTTATTATAACTTTACCATTTAGACAAGTGCTTTGATGATTAGAATAAAATAAACAAAACAGGAAGCAGCCATGGTTTGTGCCTTCAGGGGGCTGTTGGTCAGTTGGGCTCATTTGCTAGGGAAGCTAGTATTATGTATTGAGATTCCACTCCTGTATCATCTCCCCAGAAAGCCTTAGTGTCGGCTCAGGGTCCTTTTCTGTGGCCTCAGTTCACTGAGTGGATCTGCCTACTCGGAATATTGACTAAATTTACTATGATCATTATAACCACCACAATAAGTGACCAATTGACTAGATTCAGCTGACTTGAAGGAAGTATTTCTGTTGAGTGTTTTAATATGTATCACTAGTACTTGACATGATATATAGGAAAAAAAATAAATATCTCTTGAATGAATGCATGAAAATGGCAAAACAGCCAGATTTTTGAAGAGAGCCAGGTGTATAGTTTGAAGTAACAGATATACAAGTGCTTTAGCATTAACAAGGAGATTGGGTGAGGGTTGCATTGTCACAGTGTGAAGTAGACCATACGTTGGTCTTTCACAGGAAGATCAATAGAATCAAATGGGAGAAAAGTAAAGAGAATGGCATTATGGGTATACACGATTACGCAGGTAAAAGTGAGCACAGAGTATTTGGGTAGTAGTGTGAGGCCAAGGCAACTAGAGCCGGAACTGTGGGTACTGCGCCTTAAAAAATGAAACTGGAGAAGGAAGGGTAAAAGCAAGATTTGGAAGATCTTAAGAGCCCAAAATAAAATCTTGATATGTTCTAGATAATAAACAGTGTTGAAAGTTGTAGAATATGAGATTCCTATGTAAGAAAATTGAATTCTATCACAACATGTATCATAGAAAGCCCAGAAAGTATTTTCTTAATTTAGAGCAAAGATGAAGAAACATCAGATTACAGTACTGACAAGAGAAACGGAATCCGAGCCAGAGAGAACAGAGAACAGATTTTATTTTGAGAAGGAAGAGAGAGAGAGTGAGAGAGAGACAGACAGATAGACGGACAGACTGACGAACACTATGTGCTGGTTTACTCTTCAAATGCCCATCACAGCCAGGATTGGACCAGGACTAGATCTAAGAACTGTGAAAACAACCCAGATTTCCCATGTCAATGGGAAGGACTCAATTAATATTTTGAGCATCACTGCTACCTCCTAGGGTCTGTATTAGCAGGAAGCTGGAGTCTGGAGTGGAGCCAGTTGTCTAACCCAAGAACTCTGTAATATAGGATGTGGGTGAGACATCTTAACTGCCAGGTCGGTGGTTGCTCCTAGGGAATAAGTGCTTTTTTTCTTTTTTTTTTTTTTTTTTTTTGACAGGCAGAGTGGATAGTGAGAGAGAGAGAGACAGAGAGAAAGGTCTTCCTTTGCCGTTGGTTCACCCTCCAATGGCCGCCGCGGCCGGCGCGCTGCGGCCGGCGCACCTTGCTGATCCGATGGCAGGAGCCAGGAGCCAGGTGCTTTTCCTGGACTCCCATGGGGTGCAGGGCCCAAGCACCTGGGCCATCCTCCACTGCACTCCCTGGCCACAGCAGAGAGCTGGCCTGGAAGAGGGGCAACCGGGACAGATTCCGGCGCCCCGACCGGGACTAGAACCCGGTGTGCCTGCGCCGCTAGGCGGAGGATTAGCCTAGTGAGCCGCGGCGCCGGCCTGGGAATAAGTGCTAAAAGATGAGATGGTGGGGGCAGGATGACACAGTAAGTGAGAAACGCTTCATAAACTGTAAAACATACAGCTGTGTCGCTCCTCCTCTCGCGGAGGAACGACACTGGACCCTGTGCTGTTCTCTTTGCCTGGGTTTGCTGTCGGCCCTTCCCGGGTTGCCAGCCCTCACTTGCGGAGGAACGACACTGTCCTGGGTTAGCTGCTGACCCACCGCCTCCGCGGAGGGGCGGCACCCCTGCCACTTTCCCCACTTCCGCGGAGGAGCGGCACACCGCCGGCCGGCTCTCAGGGGTTCCTCAGATGTTTCCCTCAGATGTTCCTGGTGCATGTTTTTTCTCTCCTCCTTTATAGTCCTCTTCCACCAATCCATGCTCTGCTGCCCACACGCCGAGCATGCTGCTCTCCTCCAATCAGGAGCAGGATCAGCTCCTGCCACTTGTTAGTCAAGTTGGCAAGGCAGCTGCATAGAAGTTGTTTACTCCTCCCCAGAGCCATATTGTGGGAGATCAGATGCATAGAATTAGTCCTAGTTCCAGTAATTTAGTCTAGTCTCAGTTGCTCCCCACACAGCTGTAAGATTATTTATCCATAATATGTAAGTGTTCATACATGTACATGGATTCATACTTATATGAATATTGGGTATTTCCCAGATCAAGAAGAAAGGTTGTTTGAGCTATTTTCTTTTCTTTTTTCTTTTTTTAAGATTTATTTTATTTGTGTGAAAGACAGAGTTACAGAGAGAGGTAGAGACAGAGAGAGAAGTCTTCCATCTGCTGGTTCACTCCCCAGATGGCCACAACGGCCGGAGCTATGCTGATCAGAAGCCAGGAGCCAGGAGCTTCTTCTAGGTCTTCCATGAAGGTGCAGGGGCCCAAAGACTTGGGGCATCTTCTACTGCTTCCCCAGGCTATAGCAGAGAGCTGGATCGGAAGAGGAGCAGCCTGGACTAGAACTGGCACCCATATGGGATGCCAGCGCTTCAGGCCAGGGCTTTAACCTGCTGCACCACAGTGCCGGCCCTTGAGCTATTTTCTTGGGTTCAGTTACAAGATCTGATTATGTTTTTGGCAAGATGGTGAAAAAGAAGCTTGCATTTGCTGGCTCAACCAAATAATTCTCTCTTAAAATATTACAAATTACTACACATTAATAGATTGTTTTAGATTTCCTTCAAGGCAAGGCCATATGTTGGAATGGAAGTTGGTAGTCAAGATAATGCATAATGATTTTTACCTGTGTTTATTTGGTGTTTTGTTAACTAACAGGCTATTGCTGTATTGCATACTTAGGATACAAGATCTAAGAAATAACAGGAATCCTCTATAATTGCAATAAGCTTTTATTATGTATATATTTTAATATTTGACAAAAGATGTTTTTCTGTATAATAGTTGCCACATATCAGAGAAAATATGATATTGTCTTTTGGGACTGGCGTGTTTCACTAATCATAATGGTCTCTAGTTGCATCCACTTTGTTACAAGACAAGATTTCATTCTTTTTTATAGTTGAGTAGTATTCCATCATGCATATGTTCCACAATTTCTAATATACAGAATACAAAAATAGTGTATATAAACAAAATTGACATTTTGAGGTTTGATTATTGTTGATAGCCTTTGTCTATATGCTTGAGGAACAGTAGTTTTTCTACTTAAAAAAAAGGATTTTTTCCCAATAATTTTACATATTTGTTTTCACTTAATATCAAAAGAAAATGTTTCCATAAACAAGTGAATATTTTCTAACAATTAGATGCCTCTTGTCTTATGAAGCACGGCCTGCTACAACGTGAGTGGCTTTGTTTCAGTGCAGTGCTGGGAATGGCACGTGTGGTGAAGATGCAGCCACGTCTGCCCTGGCCTCTTAACTCACACAGTGCTTTTTGAATTGACAGGGGGATTGCCGCACCAGAGAAGAGGCGATGATATTTGGCACTGGACTCTGTGACAATGGATTTATGCACCATGGTAGGGGTTTTCACCTTGGAAGCTTACGGATGTGTTTCATTGTTTGCTTCTTCTCCCAGCACTGCTAAGTGTCTCAGGGCCCCAGGGAGTCTTCAAGCCCCAGTCCTTTCAGTTTCCCTGCTGGGGCCGTTCCTTTGTCAGATTGCTACTCTTCATCAGTGGCCATGGCTTTGCTCTGATTTTTCTACACTGTCCTGATTCCAGAGGAACAACAACTTCAGTAGAAGTTTTGTTGCTTTTTCTGTTTGGAAAGTTCATATATCTCTTTGAAACTATTTGGTTTTACTGAAGGCCGGTATATATTAGAATGATTAAATGAGAGGTATATGGTAGGATATTTTTTGTTGTTTTTTTTTTTTTTAGAGGAATGTTTTCAAAATTTCCTCAGGGAACAAAATTACAGATCTCTGGAAAAACTAATTGGTTCTTTTTGGCCATTAAAGATTGATTTCTTTCAATGTTTTACAAAGTTGTTGAACTTTTCAAAGTAGAAGACTCAATTTTTTCTCCTTTATTCATAGAATACATAAACCCAATCTTTTCTATTATTAATATGCTTATAAATATTTGATAACACTTATGCCCATTTATCAGTTGTTTTCAAGGAATTGTTACAGTTTCACGAAGAAGAGAGTAAAGGACAAAAGTTACAGAAATGTTGAAATCATATAGTTATCATATGTTTCTCAGTTCCATGCCATTCCACTCTTTCTAGATCCCTGTGTGGGCTCCGATGAGGTTATTTGGTCCTTAAAAAAACAAACTATGGAATGAAAGAAATTAATGACAGTTAAGGCAGTTAAAACTATAATATCGAACTGAAAATCCTCACAAGTTCTGATTATTTTCATCTTTAATATAAAGCATGCATAAGAAATAATATTTGTAAACATTGATTGTTAAACATTGAGTTAAGACAGTTTTCCATCTAAGTTTGTCAGTGAAATACAAGCAGTTTGGCTTATGCCCACCTTCACTGGTACCCAGTCTTGCTCCTTTGGACAGACTGGTGGATTGTGAGCTTTGGGAAAATGCTTGTATCATTAACTCAATCTAAAATGTATTCTTAATCCTATTGTTAGAAATGGCTTGTTTCTAATTGGAAGCTGATCATTTTATTTGTAAATTCATGTTGCCAGCCAGTCTTCCCATCCAAAAATCAATGTGTTCCTTCATCTAATCAACAATTGTTTGTTGGAATTATATAAAAACAATGAAATAAAATAGTGGTCCTTTTTGGTTACTTACAGTTGTCAAGGTACTTGCGTGTACTACCTCATCTTGGTTTTATTCAACATTATGAAGGTTTTGTTGCTTCTACTGTATAGATGAGGAAACAGGTTCAGAAGTTACAAGCCTGATGCTTTCTACTGTTCCCAGGGACCACTGTCTTCCCTGTAGTTGTGTTTTAATGCATCAGCCTCTCCCAACAAGTACACTTCAAAGCACGTAAGGGCAGATGAAAAGAAATGGAGAAGATCCCATTTTTTAAAAGTATTTTGATAATTGTCAGGGTATTCTTCCTATTAGAATGTAGCCTTATTTTATTCTGTCTTTTTTAAAGATTTATTTATTTATTTGAAAGTCAGAGTTAAACAGAGGAGAGGCAGAGTGAGAAATAGAGAGAGAGAGAGGTGTCTTCCATCCACTGTTCACTCCCCAATTGGCCGCAAAGGCCAGAACTGTGCTGATCAGAAGCCAGGAGCCAGGATCTTCTTCCAGGTCTTCCCATGAAGTTGCAGGGGCCCAAGCACTTAACCATCTTCTACTGCTTTCCTAGGCCATTGAAGCGAGCTGGATCAGAAGTGGAGCAGCCAGGACTTGAACTGGTACCCATATGGGATGCCGGCACTGCAGGCGGCGGCTTTACCTGCTATTCCACAGTGCCGGCCCTGTAGTCTTATTTTAAAAGAAAGCCAACAAAACATAAACCAGACATGATCAGTGCCTTCCAGGGATATCTAGGGGTTTTGAAGGGAAATATTAGCATTTGGATTATTGGGGAAAGAAATCACTTTTGGAGAAATACAATTATTCAAGTTTTTTTTTTTTTTAAACAAAGAACTAAGAGTTTGTGGAAACTAAAATCACATTTCATCCAGAAGACATATTTCCAGTTTAAAGTGTTAGAACAAAAGTGACCACAATGAGAATTACTCACACATAAAAGGACAGCACTTCACTCATTCAAATTTTCCCATGATTGTTCAGAATATTAAAGACATGCTGAAAGTGTTAATTACAAGTTGAAAACACCATACACGGGTGGGCACCGCGGCTCACTTGGTTAGTCCTCCGCCTGCGGCGCCGGCATCCTGTATGGGTGCCGGGTTCTGGTCCCAGTTGCTCCTCTTCCAGTCCAGCTCTTTGCTGTCGCCCGGGAGGGTAGTGGAGGATGGCCTGAGTGCTTGGGCCCCTGTACCCGCATGGGAAACCTGGAGGAAGCACCTGGCTCCTGGCTTCGGATCAGTGTAGCTCCGGCAGTAGCAGCCATTTGGGGGGTGAATCAACGGAAGGAAGACCTGTCTGTCTGTCTCTCTCTCACTAACTCTTTCAAATAAAAAAACACCATATGTTTCTATTTTTTTTAACATTTATTTATTCATTTGAAAGAGCAATAGAGAGAGAGACAGAGAGACCCAGAGAGAGATCTATCTGATGCTTCATTCCCCAAATACCCACAATAGTCAGAGCTGTGCCAGGCCAAATCCAGGAGCCAGGAACTACATTCTGGTCTCCTACATGGGTGGCAGGAACCTAAGTACTTGAGGCAACCTCTGCTGCCTTCCCAGGTGGATTAGCAGGGAACTAAATCTGAAATAGAGTAGTCAGTAAAGTGGCCTAACTTACTGTACCACAACACTGGCCTTTTTTGGATTCATTTTAATATTTTATTTATTTTGATTTTAATCTGAAAAGTGACAGACTTGGTTAAGTATAAAATCATTAGAATTGAAAACACACTAAGTTTAAAAATGCGAAATTCTTTTTGTAACCTAAACTTAAAGGATCATTGCTTTGGAATTATAGAAAGAAATAGAAAAAAAAATCCTAGGGATGTTTGTGACTGTGATTTGTCCTAGGAATATAAAGTTGAGGTTATTTACCAGATATCTACTGCTATGGAAAATGAATTTGAGTTTTGGGTTAATTGAAACAATTTGTTTCTGTAGTCCTTGAAAAAAGTGAATTCAAAGATGAGCCCCTACTTTTCCGCTTTTTTGCGGATGAAGAAATGGAAGGATCAAATATGAAACACCGACTTATGAAGCATGACTTAAAGGTTGTGGAAAATGTCATAGCTAAGTCATTATTGGTAAGTTTATGAATATAAATATTCTTCTTGATTGGACATTACCAGGAGATTAAATAAACAATTTTGATGGTGCTGTGTCTTACATCATTGATTTGTATTGCTTAAAAATTTGCTTTATCAGTAACATTTTTATTTTTGCATTTCAGATCAAATCTAATGAAGGCAGCTATGGCTTTGGGTTAGAAGACAAAAATAAAGTTCCAATAATAAAGTTAGTAGAAAGGGGATCTAATGCTGAGGTAATGTAAATGATAAATTTTCTTTTAAATTAATATAAAAGTTCTAAACCAATAGAAATCAGTCTCTCAAGTATATTTACTAGAGATATTTTCTATGAATTATCTTACTCTTAGAAGCAAGATGGATGGTAGCCTAGCTCAAGAGTAGGCACTCAGGGATAATTGAAGGCAATAAAGGTGAGAGAGGGTACTATTTTTATAGAGACATATAGCTTGGAACTTCTTTACTTCCCAGGAGGCTAAATAACTCATTCTATATCCCTGGGTCTTTCCAATCTGGAAACTTGCGGGACCTGCATAGTGTTGGACTATACTATGTGTGTGAGATAGTTATTTTGTTCGTTCTAGGGCTACGTCTTCCATTTCACTGTCACCTTTGACAGTAAAACACATGCTTCAACTCATTTTCTGATTAAATTAATACTGATTGACATTCTTTCACTTTACCCACCTTGTAAACAAAGAGATCTCTTGATCACTCGTTACACATATTTATTTAATGCCTGTTATGTGCTAGGCAATGTTCTAACCTCTGGGAATACAGCAGTGAACCAAAAAGAAAAAAAATCATGTCTTAATGAAGTCTACCTTCCCATGATATATCCCAAGTATGAAGTGTCTTTAAAAAGTTTGTGGTAAAAGCATGCATTGAAACAGACTGCATGGCTTTTAAAATTCTTTGCACCAAAATGCAAATTATCTTTTAATTGCATTTTCCGTGAACTTTTTGTAGTTCCCTCAGGTTTGGAAGTCTTGTCACCTTACAAGCTACCTGGCTTGTAAGCTGCTTAGCATTCAAGCCAGTTTCTCCATATTCAGATCTGTCTTAGGGAATGTGAGAACTAATGAAATCTAGTTTTTAACTTGAATTTATTTTGAAGTTAGCAGCAAACTGTCACCCATCCTGCTATCTGTGCATGCCTAAGGTCTCTGTCTTTTAGACACAAATGCAAGACAAATCTTTTTGGATACCACACTAATTTCAAACAAAAACTCATACTGTACATGAACCTGGCCAACAAATGACTGTTTTTAGTAATTTTCTATGAGAAGGAAATGTTTCTCTTGGCCATTTCAGAGGATATTCTCAGAGCACAGCTTTGTTGGCTAGGCTGCTGATGAAAGGCCCCATCCCTGGTCTTCATTACTTAGCTGACAACCAATACAGTAGTAGTTTATGGGCAGGAGAGCTGGTTAGCAAGAATGTCGTGGTTGGCATGCAAGGATAATGTCTTCCTTTTCCTCTTCTCAGCATTTTGCACCTGGATAGCCCTATTCTTGTTGTGGCTCTCTGCCTAGATGTCAGGTCACTCCTCTGCTCTCTACCAGATAGATTAATGCTAATGTTGGGCTACAGATGCATATTTGCATGTCATAAATCTCTGTATACAGAGGTTGAAACTCTGAGTTAATTGGATATAAATGGGAAACATAGTTAAAACATTAAGCAGGGTGTGATCATTTGGTGCAACAGTATCAGGACGCCTACTCCATATAGCAAGTGCTTGGGTTTGAGTCCCAGTTCCACTTCCCATTCTGGTTTCCTGCTAGTGGGCAACAACTGATGGCTCAGATTCAGGGTTCCTGATCAGCCACATGCAAGGTCTGGTTTGGGTTCTAGGCTCACTGTTGTCTTCAGCCTGGTCCAGTCCTAGATGTTGTGGCCATTTTGTGAGTGAAGCAGGGAAGGACAATTTGTGTCTTTGTTTTTTTCTCTCTTTCTCTCTCTCTCTTAAATAAATAATTTAAAAAATTAAACTAGTCTCAATTTAGTTAAAAGGATTAAGTAAGAAAAAGAACTATGAAATAAAACAAAAAAAATGGTCACAGGAGGAATACTGTGTTATGGCAAGAAAGGAAGTGGGAAAAATTTCAATAAAGCTGTGTGATCAAATTTAAAACGAGGTCAAAGATAATGATGACTGTGTTATGTCATCCACAGTTCTGCTTTGTGGGTTTGTATAAAAACATTACAGGTGTGTTAAAATGTCAAAATATGTAAGCCCTGAACATTTTTGGATTCAAATTTTCTGAAAAAGTAGAGTTCTTGCTTTAATATAATTTAAATTTTTTTTTGCAATATCTCTCTTAGATGGCTGGCATGGAAGTTGGGAAAAAGATCTTTGCCATTAATGGTGACCTAGTTTTTATGAGACCTTTCAATGAAGTGGATTGCTTCCTGAAATCATGCTTAAATAGCAGAAAACCTCTAAGAGTTCTTGTGAGCACAAAACCAAGGGAGTAAGTTGTATGATTAATCTTGGATTTTGAAAAACAATTATGTATAACTGCATAAAATGGAAAATTTAACTAAAAGTCTATTATTAAGCATGTAATTTCTTAGAACATTTAAACCTCATCAATGTCACTAATACTGGTCTTTAGATGATGTGAAAAATTGCTACTTGAATTAGATACTTTCAGCAGAAATAATGCTATTCTCTGATTGCCTAAATGTTCCTGCTGTGGATTAGGTGAGTGTAACTACTAGCTGGAAAAGTTAGCAGAACACTTGAGAATAAAGAGCTGCATGTTCAGGGCCGGAGTTGTGGTACAGCAGCTTAAGCTGTTGCCTATGCTGGCATTCTAGATGAGTGGCAGTTTGAGTCCCTGCTGATCCACTGCTCCATCCAGCTCCCTGCTAATGCACCTGGGAAGGCAGCGGAAGATGGCCCAAGTGCCTGTGCCCCTGCCACCCTGTGGGATACCAGGATGGAGTTCCAAGCTCCTGGCTTCAACTTGGCCCAGCCCTGGCCATTGTGGCCATTTGGAGAGTGAACCAGCAGATAGAAGATATCTCTCTCACTCACTCTCTCATTCTCTCTTCTCTCCTCTCCTTCTGTAACTCTGCTTTTCAAATAAATGAAATAAAATCTTTATTAAAAAAAGAACTTCATGTAAGAATGTGTATGCTAAAAGAATTTTAAGAAGTATTAGTTGATTAGATTCAACTAATTGATTGGTTGTAACATGTGGGATCAATACTGAAATATTCCATGCTTATTTGTACTTAATAATATGTCAATTCCTTTAAAAAAGTCTGTCATCTATCTGTCTATATTTCTGTGTATCTGCAAGAGTACTTCAAAACTTTCATATAAAATTGAAAAGATGTGTTTATTATGGTGCAAAAAACTTTGAAGTCCCTGCATAATTTCTCATAATATGAATTTCCCATGAACTTTTGAAGTATCCTGCCTTCTAGTTTCTACCTATCCTTAGAAAAATATTCATATATATTAAAGACAATTTAGAAAAATTGAATAATTCCAAAGGAAGTCATTTCTTGTATAATAATATCATCCACAAATAGCAATTGTTACATTTTTGAAATATAGATTTCAATATATTTTCAATAAATTTTTGAAATGTAGAGTTAATTTTTCTAAGTATTGATAAACATACACAATTATGCACTTATAGAGTTGGGCCATGTTCTATATGCTGCTTTGTGATGTTTCTTTTTGTGTATGTATTAAAATCATATTATGGGTTGGCTGGCACTGCGTCTCACTTGGCTAATCCTCCGCCTGTGGTGCCGGCACCCCGGGTTCTAGTCCCAGTTGGGGCGCCGGTTCTGTCCCAGTTGCTCCTTTTCCAGTTCAGCTCTCTGCTGTGGCCCCGGAAGGCAGTGGAGGATGGCCCAAGTGGTTGGGCCCTGCACCTGCATGGGAGACCAGGAGGAAGCACCTGGCCCCTGTCTTTGGATCAGCGCAGTGCGCCGGCCGTAGCAGCCATTTGGGGGGTGAACCAACAGAAAAAGGAAGACCTTTCTCTCTTTCTCTCTCACTGTCTAACTCTGCCTATCAAAAAAAAAATCATATTATGGGTACACTTGAAAGACACTGGATGTTCCTTTGCAAATCATTTCCATCTACAGTATATTATTCTTTAATCAGATATACACCATGAGTTTATCTAATTGATTGAGATAATAAAGTGCATAGCACAATGTCTTAATGCACTATGATTGTATGAAAATTATGTTTTAAAAATCTACTTATATCAGTTCTTGATAGCAATAACCAATTTCATTAATTTTATGAAAAATGAAGGTTATCACTTCAAAAATGAAAAGGTTATTTATTTTAGTTACTCATGGAAATACTGGTAAGTACATATAGTATCCCTTACATATATGTAATATTATGTTTTATTACATATTCAGGAATAGCAGGGAACACTGCTCTCTGCTTGGGTCGCAGTACAGTGTAACATGATTTACTAGGTTGTTCCTAGCAAACCTGTTTCTGTGGCAGTATTAAGTCATTAAGACAATTGCCTTAGTTTCTGCTAACGACTTACCAGGTGGTCTGAAGGAGTGCCTCACTGAAGTTACTAATTTAGAAAAACTGGGCTAGAGGGCAGCAAAGAACCACAATAATATCTTCCCTCTAAAGCTAATTAAGTATCACTGCTGCTTCCTTTTTCCCAAAGCTGCCCAGGATAGGAGATCCTAGTTGCCTACCTGCTGCCACTCTGGGGGCATTGCAAAGGAAGCAGACTGGAAAGGACAAAGTCCTATTTCACAGCAATCATTAATAAAGATAAAAGACTGGCCCTGTGATTCCCTGATTTAACTCTACAAATATTGCCCTTCTGACCCTAGAAATTTCAACAGCTGGAAAACTTGGAGGCCATCAACTTCAAAACTAAATAGCCAGAGGCAAATCCTCAGTCTTAGAGTGAGATGCTGGGTGAGCATAGTAGGAACCTTTGTCTACTGACACTTCCCTCAGTGTGTGTTGGAGTTATCTAGAACCCTAGATGTCAGGTTCATGCCTTACCACTTGCTAAGTGTGTAACTTTAATGTCCTCATCCGTAAAATGAGAATAAGAGTACCTATGCTGTGGCGCTCCCAAGAACGCTAAATAAATCTAGGTTTGTAAAGAACTTAGGTACGGAGCCAGCACTGTGCTGCAGCAGGTTAAAACCTCAGCCTGCATTGCTAGCATCCCATGTGGGTGCCAGTTCAAGTCCTGGCTGCTCCACTTCTCATCTAGCTCCCTGCTCATGCACCTGGGAAAGCAGCAGAGGGTGACCCAAGTACTTGGGGCCCTGTACCCACGAGGGAGACCTAGAAGAAGCTCCTAGCTTTGGCCTGGCCCAGACTAACCGTTGTGGCCATTTGAGGACTGAACCAACAGATGGAAGAGCTCCCTCTCTGTTTCTCTTGTTTCTCTGTAGCTCTGCCATTCAAATAAATAAATCTTAAAAAAAAAAAAAAAACCTTAGTGTTCAGCCCACATATCTAGTGATGTGATTCTTTCATGTGTTTTATCATTTATTTTTTCATTGCTTTTTTATTACATCAAGAGCATATTTGCATTCATTTGAAGACATCTTTGAAGATGGCAAACTCATTTTGTCTTTTTAAGTTGCTTGAAATTTATAATCCTTCCATTACACCATTATCCTAATATATGGGCCCTATAAAACCTCTCTCATATTTTCTTACAATAGCCTTTTGTAATTTAAATAGAAATGTGTTTTGAAGGGAAAATGGTAAAAAAAAAAAAGGATAAATACAACAGAATTTTCTTTGGATTCTAGGTGTATTTTGGATTTGATAACACACCGGAGTTTTTCAAATGCTTTAAGTAGATGATTTAGGGCACTTATTTACTGAAAGAAATAAAACATTCCTCTTGTGTAAATGTCAATCTTTTAATAGGCAGTCTAGTGTTCCCACAAAAGAAACAAGTTTTACAGTGTTCATTTATTAAGGGGTCCCAATATTTTAACCAAATAGGTCTCATGGTGTTTTATACAATTTTGTAAAGGAAAAAAATGCAGTTTGTTCAGAAAGAATTGAGAGGCCACTGTGAATTGCTGCTAGTCCAAGAGCAACCATATCCATGGCCTGAAAGCTCTGTTATTTTAGCAAAAGTAAATGCTCATTCAAAAATAAAAGCATGAGCTGCCTCTGTTTTGGGGCCACCCTCACCAGAATATGTATTTATTCCTATTTTTTACTGATTTATCTTTTATTTTCAGTGAAATTAAAATTCACTTTGACAGGCACTCATAACTATGTGCTATTCAAAGGAAATGATTCAGCCGGTACACCATACAGTACTGATGGGAGGCTGAAGGGTAAATTGATTCTGTGACCACCTTCCCAGTTAGCATTTCTATCTCAGAACCCCTGCCTGGGTCGTTCTTGAGGTTGCAGTGTGTGCCATTGCCTTCTGGCCTAAATGCAGTCCATAGCTTTCTCTAGTGTTCTATGCAAACAGTCTTGCACAAACTGCCTCCAGCAGCTACTTTACAAGTGGCAGATAGGTTCTGCTGTTCCTATCTTTAGACCTCTGTCTAAAGTGTCCTTGCAGTGGTGCCAACATTTATTTCTTGATTAATTCATCTTTTGGAAACCACTTGTTCCTCGGGCATCAAGTGCTATCCATCACAATTTTATTGCATTGTGTTCATTTGTATTTGCTCTCCACTGCAATTTATTATACTCATTTTCATTGTTATGATGCTCCATCTTATCTTGTGTTCTCTGCTTTTCATTGTTGCTATCTGATTTCTGGCTTCCTTCTGTGGCGTATCTCATTTATTAGTGACAAATTGAACATCCTTCACTGGTTTGCTGTCACAGTTGACTCACAGTCACCATCCCTTCATATGGATTCACTGGAAAAATTTCTTTTCAAGTTTACCTTTTGATGTAGTCTTTTAAAATCTCACTACATAAAAAGGAATGTTAATCATATTCTTAAATTATTTTGAAGTAGTGTTTGACAGATCAGCGCTTTATAATTAGTTCTTTAATGAAGTTCTCAACAGGTAGAAAAGTATCAATTCTGTGTCTCTTTTTTATATGAACTTTTATAAAAAGTTTTCACGGGGTACTCATATTCTCTTTATAATAGCAAACTAAGGAAAGAAGCTGCTGTTCTGTTAAATACTTAATAGCCTAGCACAGAGTAGTTTCCCAATTGTATCTCTTTTAATCCTTATGATGCAGAATAGGTTTTAATGACTTTATTTAGTTATTTATTTGAAAGGCAGAGTTACAGAGGAAGGCAGAAAGAGGTCTTCCATCTGCTGCTTGACTCCTCAGATGGCCACAAAGGCTGGAGCTGCACCAATCCAAAACCAGGAGCCAGGAGCTCTCTCGGGGTCTCCCACGTGGGTGCAGGGGCCCAAGCACTTGGGCCATCGTTCACTGCTTTCCCAGACAACAGCAAAGAGCTGGATCGAAAGTGGAGCAGCCGGGACTCGAACCAGCACCCATATGGGATGCTGGTGCTTCAGGTGGTGGCTTCCCCGACTATGTACAGCACTAGCTCCTTAATGACGTTATCTTTCTTTGAAACTGTGTCAGAGAAGTTCAGGAGTTTATCTAATAACTAAGTACAGAATTGATGATTCATAGCTAGGTTAGTCTAGCTTCAGAGCTTTTCAGGATATACTCCGTAAGTCTGTATTCACTTTAGAAAGTGAATTGCATGTCTACTATGTACCTGTGTGAGGGTAAAAAATGCTGTTTGTTTCCAAGCATTTCTAACCCAGTGTCTTTCATATGGTAGATCCCCAATATGGATTTATTGAAAGAATAAGCAAAGGTGTAGGGAGTAGGCTTTTAACCAGTTTGGGCATTTAAAATTAATTTTACCTCATTTTTGAATTGATTTTAGGACAGTGAAAATCCCAGATTCAGCTGATGGGCTTGGATTCCAGATCCGAGGATTTGGCCCATCGGTTGTACATGCAGTAGGAAGAGGTAAGAAGTTAATTTCACGTGGAGGACAACCTTCCAGAATATTTGGGGTATTCTTTACAGATAAAAATATGTTTAAAATGTGCATAGTCATTTATGAACTTTCTCTTTAGACATATTTTCACTGTATTAAATCAATGGTAGTACATTCTGGAAACAATATTTTTTTAAAAATTGTCCTTTGGCATATTTATCATTGTTAAAAATTTGAAGTGAAATGGACACTATGAGAAGCAATGACTTGATGAGCCCTTGTCCTGACTGTTAATGAACAACTTTATCCCATTTAGTATTTTTTTGTTCTACTTAATACTATTGGTTGAACTCTGTAATTAACACGCAATTATTCATAGGTGTTTAAATTTAACTGAAAAGTGATCCCTGTTAAATATAAGAGAGAGAATAAGAGAGGGAGGAGATGTACAGTTTGGCACATGCTCAATCGGACTTGCCCTAAACGGTAGAGTTAGATACATGCCTGGGGACTCCAATTCAATCCCATCAAGGTTGCATGTACCAATGCCATCTCACTAGTCCAAGTGATAAATTTCTGTTCACAATTGATCATAATGGTACGATTAAGAGTCAAATGGATCAGATAAACAAGACTAGTGTTTGCTAATTCTAACTGATAGAATTAAAAAGGAGAGAATTATCCAACATGGGAAGCGGAATACACAGCAGACCCATAGAATGGCAGATGTCCTGAACCACGCTGGCCTCAGAATCAGCCCTTAAGGCATTCGGATCTGACTAAAAAGCCCATGAGAGTTTCTCAGGCATGGAAAGCCAAGACACTCTGGCAAAAAAAAAAAAATATATACACACACACACACACACACACACACCCCTAAATGAAAGATCTCTGAGTGAGGAAGGGAGGAGAGAACTTCCACTTTGACTATGACCTTGTCTAAATAAGATCGGAGTTGGTCACCTCAAAAGGCTTCCATAGCCTTGGCAACTCATGACAAGAGCCTAGGGTGATTACTGACACCAGAAACAAGAGTGTCAATTTGTTAAGTCAACAAGAGGAGTCACTGTGCACTTACTCCCCATGTAGGATCTCTGTCCTTAATGTGTTGTACTATGTGAATCAATGGTATAACTAGTACTCAAACAGTACTTTATACTTTGTGTTTCTGTGTGGGTGCAAACTGTTGAAATCTTTACTTAATATATGCTAAATTGATCTTCTGTATATATAGATAATTGAAAATGATCTTGATGAAGAATGGAATGGGAGAGGGAGCGGGAGATGGGAGGGTTGCAGGTGGGAGGGAAGTTATGGAGAGGAAAAGCCACTGTAATCCAAAAGCTGTACTTTGGAAATTTAAATTTGTTAAATAAAAGTTAAAAAATTTGATTCTTCAATCCCAATTTTCTTCAAGCTTCAGTTTAGCTAAGTATATAAGACTGTCTATTTGTATTTTATTTAACTATATATATGTATACTTGTGTTCCAATAACTCAAAGATGTAAATTTTCAGACTTAAGAACTATTTTGGGCTTTATAAATATAATTTCCTCAAATATTCCTATAAATCATGGAAATATTCTTACCATGAAATGAATTTTAAATTAGATAGTTTTAGCCACCGAAACTTTATACTGGGCCTGACATTTGGCTTAGCAGTTAAGACACTGCTGGGAATGCCCACATCCCGTATCAGTGCCTATGTCCAAGTCTCAGCTCCACTCCTAATTTCATCTTCCTGCTAATGTGCACCCTGGGAGGCAAAAGGTGATAGCTCAAGTACCTGGATCCTCCTACAGTGGGAGATGTGGATTGAATTCCTGGGTTCTAGTTTTGGCCTGGCCCAGCTCTTGTGGGCCTTTAGGGGAGTGAAGCAGCTGATGGGAGATTTTTTGTTTTCTGTCTCCACACCCTCTTCCCCTTTTTGTTTGGCCTCTCCCTATGTCTCTGACTGCCTCTCAAATAAGTAGAATAAATAAACAATTTATCTATATCTATGCAATCAAAATGACTGAATAGTTGCTGTTACCCAACTAATTCTATTCTCCACAAATTCTCTGGTTCCTGGCCCTTTGCACATGTTCTAAATTCTTTTTCTGAGAAAATCCATTCCACATAAGTTGCTAATTGACAAGTTTTTTTCCTTAATAATTTATTTTTATGTGAATATTAAATCGTTGGAATTTTAAAAAATAAAAGCGATTACTATGTCATTATTTAGAGATGTTGTAAAGAAAGATGAGGCACATTCTGACTTTCTCATTTTCCCATTATATATATAAATATTTATGTAATTATGCCATATATAACATGTAATGTATGCCAAATATATATAAATTTAGAAAATTAGATTGACTAGACATTTGTAAGGGAAAATAACTGATTAGCATTATGAAAGTCACTTTGCAATATTCCTTCAAACATTCCTAGGAAGGTAGGGAAATATTCTATTAATCACATAGATTGAATGATGAGTTCAAAAGCAGAAATACATTGAGAAGTTATTGGTATCAGAACCAAAGTTTTTAAGAACATGCTATCTAGACTGTCGCTCCCCCTCTTCGTGGAGGAACGACACAGGACCCTGCGCTGTTCTTTTGTCTGCTCGGCCCTCCCCGGGTTTGCTGCTGGTTCTTCCCGGGTTGGCTACCGACCCTTCCACCTCCGCGGGGGAGCGGCACACCGCCGGCCGGCTCTCTCGGGGGCTGCACAGGTGTTCCTTCAGATGTTCCCCTTAGATGTTCCTGGTGCATGTTGTCTCTATCCTCCTTTATAGTCCTCTTCCACCGATCCCAACTCTGCTACCCACACGCCAAGTACGCTGCTCTCCTCCAATCAGGAGCAGGTCCCACAGTTTATTGGTTGAACTGGAGGCAGCTGTGTAGAAGCTGTTTCCCTTCTCAGCGCCATATTGTGGGAGAGCAGATGCATAGAATAAGTCTTAATTCCAGTAACTTAGTCTAGTCCGAGTTGCTCCCAATTGCTCCCCACATAGACCTTTATTATGTTTTGAAATGGCCTCTCTTATTGTGTATATGATAAAAATGGATTTTTTTTTTGACAGGCAGAGTTAGACAGTGAGAGAGAGAGACAGAGAGAGACAGAGAGAAAGGTCTTCCTTTTCCGTTGGTTCACACCCCAAGTGGCCGCTATGGCTGGTACGTTGAGGCCAGCGTGCTGCGCCAATCCGAAGCCAGGAGCCAGGTGCTTCCTCCTGGTCTCCCATGTGGGTGCTTGGCCCAGGGACCTGGGCCATCCTCCACTGCACTCCCAGGCCACAGCAGAGAGCTGGAGTGGAAGAGGGGCAGCCAGGACAGAATCCAGTGCCCCAGCCGGGACTAGAACCCGGGGTGCCGGCACCACAGGCGGAGGATTAGCCAAGTGAGCCGTGGCGCTGGCCCATGGATTTTTTTTAAGATTTATTTATTTGAGATACAGTTACGGAGAGGTGGAGGCAGAGGCAGAGTGAGATCTTCCATCTGCCGGTTCACTCCCTAAATGGCTGCAATGGCTGGAGCTGGGCTGATTCGAAGCCAGGATCCGGGAGCTTCTTTCAGGTCTCCCACGCGGGTGCAGAGGCCCAAGGATTTGGGCCATCTTCTTGCTGCTTTTCCAGGCCATTAGCAGAGAGCTGCATTGGAAGTGGAACAGCCAGGACTCAAACCATTGCCCACATGGGATGCCAGCACTGCAGGTGGTGGCTTTTACCTGCTATGCCACAGCGCTAGCCCCTAAAAATGGATCTTCTTCCTGAATTTAGTTTTTGTCAATTTTCCCATTTGTCTTTAAAGGAACTGTGGCCGCAGCTGCTGGCCTTCACCCTGGACAGTGTATCATCAAAGTAAATGGAATCAACGTCAGCAAGGAGACACACGCGAGTGTCATTGCCCACGTGACAGCCTGCAGGAAGCACAGGCGGCCAACCAGGGTGAGCAGCTCTTTTCTTACCTGGGTCTGCTTGGATATTTGCTGTGAGACCTGGGGGACCCATGGGATAGTGCCAGAGATCGTGGTGGTTTCCAATGCTAAGTTCAGAATTAAGCCCAGCACTGTAAATCTCATGATGATTGCCTTATCTGCATAATTATAATTGTGTTTAAATGACTGTATTTTATTGTGACAATATTATTACTTGTTTTAAAAGTACTCAGGTTTTTCATATTTATCCTAAGTGTTTATCGAGGTAGAATCCAAATAACTGAATTATTTTCTTAGGATTGCTTTGGAATGTATGATGATCATTGTGTGTCTGCATGCATCGATTGTAAATACACTGCTTATTACAAGGCTTTTCTGAAAAAATGAAAATCGTGGGTGGGTTTCATATAGTCTCTGGTAGAGTTTTTTAACTGTTTGCCTTCTTACAGATATGCCAGTCAGAGAAATGATTACAAAAGCAATAAATCAGAAAAAAATTCACCTAAATAGTATACTCTGTCAGGTATCCATGCCACAAAAATGACCACTGCAAAGCTTAGTGACTTAAATAAGCAGTGATGATTTCTCTTGATTCTGGGGTGATCGTGACTAACTAACATTTTAATGATTTACAGCAGCATAATAAACACAATTGTAAGGCTAATACAGGAAAAAACCAGACAATACATATTGTACTTCAATAATGTGATTCAATTTGATTGATCGCATTTATCTTATCCAAGAGAAATGTAGACATTAAAGAAAGGCTGCTCTTTAAGCATTTATTTAGTGGCTATTTTATCTCTCTCATTTCTCTAAAGACTGGAAATGCTGTTTCAGTTTAAAATATGAGATGATTTATGACATGGAGAGATTAAAAGAGTTACATGACTTGGGGACTCAGTAAGATGAATGATCTTCCAATTTTCATATTGGTTTGCTTCAAGAAAGCAGTAAATGTATTAAAATATATGTGACTGTTAGAGCATTTAAGGAATTTGTACAGTTATAGATAATTAATTCATCAGAAAATGGTGGTTTATTTTAAGCTATATTTTATAATTCATTTTAAGATATCCTTGAGGAATTTAAGTAAGACATCTGAGAATACATCCTATTTAAAACATGTCCTTTGGAGCATGTCTTTGGAAGATAGAATTTACATAAAACACTATGTTTGGAAGATAAGCTTTAAGCTTAAAATATTTGTTAAACAATATAATTGTCATTGGTTTTCTGTTAGTCTCCAATGGTGATTATTTTCATTCAAATTTCATTATTTTTAAACAAATTTAATATTTCATTATTTTTAAACAAACTAAAGGAATACATAAAATGGCCAACCCTCTTTCTGAAGCACGAGAATGAAATGAATATGCTTTTAGGAATCACTAATAGTTCTGAGGCTTCTTTCCCCCTCATTTCCAGCAAGACTCCATACAATGGGTTTATAACAGCATTGAGAGTGCACAAGAGGACCTTCAAAAGTCTAACTCCAAACCCCCTGGAGATGAAGCAGGGGATGCCTTTGACTGCAAGGTAGAAGGTAGGTTCCTTCTTTTTCTCTCATTTGCTTCTCCCATTTTCCACTGTGCTCATGTCTACTCCCAAATATTGAAGTTCACTTTGTTATGTCATTTTCAAATAGATATCAAGTACATTACTAGTTATGTGTTAATATAACCATATCCTGTTGTTAGGCACTTTTAAAATAATTTACATGGCTGATTTTACTCAAAAGGGAATCTAATAAAGTAGGTATAGTAATTATCATCCTTATCTTAGGGGAGAAGAAATTGTGGCACATATGGTTTAAGGGACTTGCCCAGCCTAGTTAGATGGTACAGTAGGGATTGAATCCCAACTGGTTTCCTTGTTTGGAGTATTGTCAGGCCTTGGTACCACAGTGTGGCTCACAGACCAACAGGATTGCATCTCCCTGGAGTGAGAGAGGAACCTCAGCCCCTCCCCATCTATCTAATCAGAATGCCCTTTTCCTGAATTGGAGTGTGGCGTTTCAATTCCTGTATACAGTGTGTACTGATCAACCCTGTTTCTGTTTCCCTGTCTCTGTCATTAATTTATGATTAGAACCTTCTATTTTTCAGAAAATATATGATAAGTTATTGTGAATTGTGGTCAACCGATAAGTCGGGTAACACCAAGAACTTATTCCTTCTATCTTACTATGATTTGGTACTCATTATGCAAACTCCCTCTAGTTCTACTACCCTTACCAGCTGTAGTAGTTACTGTTCTGTGTTCCTATTGAGGCTTGTTTAGGTGCCGCATATGAGAGAGAATATGCAGTATTTGTCTTTTTGTGCCTGGCTTATTTAATTTAACATCATGACCTACAGTTCCATCCCTTCTGCTGCAAATGGCAGGATTTTATTATTTTTAGAGTAATATTCCCTTGTGTATGTATACTATGTTTTCTCTATCCATCTGTTGATGGGAACTCAGGAAGACACTTTACTTATCATCACTGGTTTATTTTAGAGGGTACAAAATGAACAAGCAGCCGAAGAGGTGCATAGAGTGAAGTCCACCCGTCTGGAGCACAAGAGTTCTGTCCCCATGGAGTCTGGCTAGCACCATGCTCCTGATGTGTGGAAGCTCTCCAAACTCTGTCATTAGAGGTTTCCATTCTCTAGACAGGATTGACTAAATTATCAAGCGTTAATGACTGACTTGACTCTCTAGACCATGTCCCCTTTCCAGAGGTCTAGGGATGGGGCTGAAATTTCCAACCCCCTGGTTTTGTGGTTGGTTCCTTTGACCATAGCCTCCATCCTGACACTAACTGGGGGCTTGCCCCAGGTCACCCACTTGCATAACCTCTGGTGTGTAAGAAAGGAGCACCTTATGAATAATCAGAGATGCTCTTGTGTCCTCTGTCACTCAGTAAATTTCAGGGGTTTCAAAAGCTCCTTGTTAGGAACTGGTGACAGACACCAAAGAGTTATTTCTTGTTGCATAATTCCTATACAATTGATCCTATGGGAGATGCTTAGGAAGAACTGTTTTTCTTTTTCTGGAAGGCTGCTTGGTTGGATCCTACTCAAATCATGGGCAATATCAGAAATACATCAACCTTTTTGGAGCAGTGATGGCATTATGATAAGACAACATTATTCAAAAATAGGACAAATCTCAGGATGTTTGTCCCAGGCTTTTATTCTGCATTTGGAGTAAATCAACCTTGGGGCCACACTGGAAGGTAGATTGTTTGATAGGATGCTCTGGAAATTGATTTGTAGCAATTCTGAGACTTAAGTTTGCTTTAAGGTAAATCAATATTCTGCGTTTACCTATTTAATTTAATTCTGTTTTTGCTTATTTAATATTTGCTGCTAGCGCTCCCAGCAGTTTCTCACTTAAGATTTTAGGTGTTTTGTCACCAGTAGACTATAGGCTAAGGTAGACATTCCTGATGGAAGTTTTATTATAGCAAACAATGGTGAATTTTCTCAATGAGCTCTTCCATAAGATGCTGTGTGGGAAACTGCAGGCACTCTGTCTGCCAAGAAAAAACATTCTTGTACCTCCTGTCTGCTTCAGTATGGCCTTATTTATGTAGTTTTTACTTCTTTGAGAAAATGCTCATCCAAGGTTTGAAGTAATTTTAGAAACTCTGACTTTAAGTCCTGCATGTTTTAAATAAAAAAAAAAAACACCACAAAACTGCATGTATAATGTTTATATTGGCACAAAAAAGTAAACATATGGTCTGCAGATCAAAGAACATGCCTAAAGATAAGACTAGTCATGTTGGGATGGTGAGATTTGGATCACTTGGGCATTCCTTTTTTTTTTTTTTTTTTTAAGTTCTTGTTTTTAAAAATGTTAAGAATAGATGCTTCATTTAACACATCAGATTTGGCCTTCCTTTAAAGAACTCTTTATAAATAATTCAGAGAATCTAAATTATTTGAGAAGACGAACAGATCCTTCACAAATTGTCTGAATTAAAATTGTCTTTATTCCAGAGGTCATTGACAAGTTCAACACCATGGCCATCATTGATGGGAAGAAGGAGCATGTGAGTCTGACGGTGGACAACGTCCACCTGGAATACGGGGTTGTATATGAGTACGACAGCACAGCTGGGATAAAGTGCAACGTGGTGGAGAAGATGATCGAGCCCAAAGGGTTCTTCAGCTTAACTGCTAAGGTATGCGTGACCCTGGGAACACAGGTTCTTTGTTCTACATAAAGCAATTGGAACTTTCCCCACGTTTACAAATGTAGATAGCTATACATTTTGTGATGTTAGCTCATTCAACTTCTTTATTCATCCCCATTGTTCAGGATGTATACAGTCTTCCTTTTATCAATGCTTTTGGAGCACTACGTTAAGTTAGATGGAGCTTGCCCAGACAGGTGTTATCTGATGTCTCAAAGACTCCACTGCACTTAAGTTGGCTGTGTCTGTTATTCAGTATCATGACTATGTTTCAGGTGGTTTTCATAGCAAGTGGTGCTTTTTTTGAGCTCCATTTAAAAAAAGTTAGAAATGATTTTTATTTTGTTCATTTACTTGAGAGGCAGGGAGACAGAAATAGAGCTCCAATCCACGGATTTGCTTCCCAGATGCTAGCAGTAGTCAGGATTGGACCACTCCGAAGCTGGAGCCAGACACTCAATTCTGGTCACTCATGCAGGTGGCAAGGGGTGCTTTTTAAAAATCCATATTTAGGCATATAGGGATATAGGCAAGGGCTCCTGCTGAACTATGGTCCTTTACTTTTTTTTTTAAGATTTATTTTATTTATTTGAAAGAGTTACAGAAAAAGGCAGAGACAGAGAAAGAGGTCTTCTATTAGCTGGTTCACCCCCCAAATGGCTGCAGTAGTTTAGCTAAGATAATCCAAAGCCAGGAGCCAGGAGCTTCTTCTGGATCTCCCACATGGGTGCAGGGGCCCAAGGACTTAGGCCATCCTCTGCTGCTTTCCCAGGCACATTAGCTGGGAACTGGATCAGAAGTGGAGCAGCCAGGACTTGAACTGGCACCCATATGGGATGCCAGTGCTACAGGTTGGGCTTTTAACCTCTGTGCCACAGTGCTGGCCGCAATCTTTTACTTTTTAGTTGAACTCTTTATTTAATGGAGCAGTAAGCCTTTAACTGTAATGTAAATTAAGGTATGTTATCTCAACATTTTTAAAATATTTTTTAAAAAAATAAAATATACCTATATTTGTTTTACATAGAATTTTCTAATATTATGCATTCATGTAAATCCTTTTCAAAACATAGTGCTTCTGTTGAAAATATTCCTAAATCATTTTTAAAGTTGTACACTCTTGTAGAATTTGAAAACAGAAAAGATATTTTTATTTCCTTGTAAAAATTGATACTTGCTGATGTCACAGTTTTTTCACTGGCCTATTTCTTCCTTACAGTGTTCAGAATTTTCTTTTATCAATATGAAATGTTTCACCTGAAAAAGAAGGAAATAAGTTAATTACATGAAAAAATAAATAAATATACATAATCCTCTGGAGAGTATTTGAAGTTGTAAAATATGAGGATTTCCATATTTCATAAAACTTCAGGGAACCTGGGATCAGTGTATAAATAGTACCTCAGACATTTGTATAACTCTCAGTTGGGAAGGACATCACCATAAGGTCCTTTGTCTAAACCAAGATGGGGAGGGAGGAAGGAAGATTATTTTCAAATGGATAAAACATGTGGCACCAAAGAAGTGACTCTGGGCTTGCTTTTCATGGCTCTTCTACCAGGAAAATCCATCAGACTCCTACTGTGTCCACTGGTCTGGGTTTTAGTATTTCGTTCTTCCTTTATATTGTGCTGTGAGAATTCAGACTTGACAAGTAAGAAAAATGAGATGTAGCTTCCCTGCTTTGATTTTGTTGTTTCAGATTTATATAATTGAGGTAGATTTAGCATCTATAATATTCAATTTTCAAATTTTAGTGGGAAAAATAATATAGAGATCCAAATTATCTATCTTAAAAATATTTTTACATTCTGAAAGTTCAATTTGATAAATCCCACCTTTATGATTGTGGGGAGCAACTCGGACTAGACTAAGTTACTCGAATTAAGACTTATTCTATGCATCTGCTCTCCCACAATATGGCGCTGAGAAGGGAGTAAACAGCTTCTACACAGCTGCCTCTCGCCAATTTGATTGACTGAGCTGCAGGAGCTGATCTTGCTCCTGATTGGAGGAGAGCAGCGTACTCGGCATGTAGGTAGCAGAGTTGGGATTGGCGGAAGAGGACTATAAAGGAGGAGAGAGACAACATGCATCAGGAACATCTAAAGGGAACACCTGAGGAACACCTGAGCAGCCCCCGAGAAGCCCCCGAGAGAGCCGGCCGGCAGTGTGCCGCTCCCCCGCGGAAGTGGGGAAAGTGGCCGGGGGGACCGCCCTTCCACAGAGGTGGAAGGGTCGGTAGCCAACCCGGGAAGGACCAGCAGCAAACCCAGGAAGGGCCGAGCAGACAAAAGAACACCGCAGGGTCCTGTGTCGTTTCTCCACGAAGACGGGGAGTGACAATGATGGCATTGTATGCATTTATCTCTTGATTAAAATATATGTTTTCCACGTTAGTGCTACTACAGCTACATTATGAGGATTGCGATGGAGCCAGAAGCAACATGGGATTCTTAGCCTTACCTGGCCTAAACCATCAGTGCCCTCAAGGAGAGGCAGCATAATGTGTGAAGCACACTTCTCCCCCAGCCATCAGCAGAAGAACCCTAAGCCTTCCCTTAACGTAGTTTTCCCTCTGTCTTGCCTGACAAGCTTTGACTCCCACTTGTCTTCACCCTCACCCTGTTCCCTTGCTTCCAAGCAAACAAGCAAGCAGGGGATGTGTTTTGACTCTCTCTCTCTCTCTCTCTCTCTCTCTCTGTCTGTCTCTCTCTCACACACACACCTCTTTGGGTAAAATTTGGCAAACATGGAGAAGTTTTAAGTAATGATTTATTCATCCTCATCATATTACATGGAAGTAAATACTGTATTTTGACATACTTCTAATGTTTGAACATTATGGCATAGCTATTGTTTTTGCTTCAATTTTCTATCAGCTTGAAGTTTTTTCAAAAACCTAAATGACCTTTCTTCGCCCTGCTTCAGTGTGACACAAAGTCTCGTCCCACCTGCTTTTAGGTTACAGGAAGAGGCTGGAGTGTAGAGTGTACCTTTTGTTCTCCTCACACCTATTAAACAAATAGTACTGTAATGCTGTCCATCCTAAATGAGGAATACATCTTTGAAAAATACCAAATTCTGCCTTAACTAATGGAAAATATAGTGGGTACATTGCAGTCAACCAATGTCGCTCTGGTGACTGGGTAACTAACAAAGCAGTTTCTGCCTGTGAACACAACAAAGGCTTTAACATCCTTAAAAAGAAACAAATTAATGAACTCAATTTGTGGCTTAAAATTGGATACTGATTTACAATGAATTTCAAATAAAGGACATTAAGAAAACAAACAAAAATATATGTTTTCAAAATGTCATGCCTTCCCACACACATAATAAAAGTTTGGGACCAGGTAATTAAAATTATTATGCCTCATTTTCTTGCTATTTCAGATTTGCAAATTCATATCAATTTTTAAAGATTTATTTATTCATTTGAAAGGGAGAGAGAGAGTGAGAGAGAGAAAGAGAGAGAGAGATATTTTCCATCCACTAGTTTAATCCCCAAATGGCTGCGGCTATTCCAAGTGGAAGCCAGGAGCGTGGAACTCCATCTGGGAGTGGAAGGGGCCCAAGTAACTGGGCCATCTTTCTTCTGTTGCTTCCCAGGTGTGTTAGCAGGGAGCTGGATCAGAAGCATACCCAGCCAGGACTTGAATCTGCATTTCAATAAGGGATGCTGGCATTCTAAGTGGCAGTTTAATCCACTACACCACGGTGCCCGCCCTACACGGATTTTTCTATATGTGACAACTGTATAAGTTAGTACTGCAAATATCCATTTCTATTTTGCATGTGAGAAAGTCAAAGAAATTATGACATTTGGCCAAGATCACATGGCTCATGATAAAGTCAGCCATGAGTTCTAGACTGCTGGTTAAACAAAACACTCATTTTCCATTTTCACCATAACAGGGAAACAGAGGTAGTGAGGAAACTCAAATAAACATAACTTCTGTACATTGTGTGACTCACAGGATACTGTAAAAATATAATTAAAGATACAACCAATCCTTGTGGTCTCTGAACAACCACTGATGCTACCCATAAAGATATCACATAATTAACTTTCAGTTCATTGGAAATTCTCAGTGATACATTTTACACTAATTGCTCACCCCCAGTACACACTGCCTTACCATTGATTCAGATGATCAATGAAACTTACTAATTGAAAACATCAGGTGGTTGCTTTTATCTGAACTTTTGTCAGCTGGAGCTCAGACCCTCCAAGTCATTTGTACTTTATCAATATAACTTCATTTATTGATTTGCTCAGCAAGCATTTGTTAAATGCAATCTCTATGCTGGGCTCTCTGGAACAAGCAAGAATGCTGTTGATTTTCCTTTTTCTTTCTTTTTCTTCTTTTTTTTTATTCTACCACTAAAGTAAGAGAAAATATTCTGAGTGACATCAACTGAAATATAAGAGATGTATTCCCTTATCACAATTTATTGATTTGTCCAGCAGAGAGTCTTTGAAGTCCACTCACCTCCCCAAGCAAGCTTTTATAGCCAGCAGACAGCACAACTTCAGATTGTAAACAGACAAGTCAAATCATTTCAACAACTGTGTCTCCATGAGCACAGTAACTCCGGGAAGCTACTAAGAGCAGAGCAGTCATGAAATTCACCTGTGTTGTTAACTTACGAAAACTTTATGTGGCTACTGTTGATGGTTTTATTCCATGTGTGTGGATGTGTGTTTTTCATGATAGATTCTTGAAGCCCTGGCAAAGAGTGATGATCATTTTGTACAAAACTGCAGCAGCCTTAATTCTCTCAATGAAGTGATTCCCGCTGACCTTCAGAGCAAATTCAATGCCATTTGCAGTGAAAGAATTGAGCATATATGTCAGAGAATATCCAGCTATAAAAAGGTAAGGATTTTATAAATAAATGTAATTATCATTGAAATTTTATTTAAATGTCAAATATAAATCAATTCTTGGTGTTTTTTACTTATCAGTATTTGTGATCCACTTTTTTTTTTAAAATGATAATATGTATATAACTACATAATTCTCTTGGTCCATTTTCTGATGCTATAAAAAATATTCAAAATCAGGTAAACAATAAAAGTTAACTTAATTCACAGATCTGGAGACTGGAAAGCCCAATATCCAGATGAGAGAACCTGATGAGGGCTTTCCTAAAGACAGATTTATTTATGTACGTATGTATAAGGCAGAGAGAGAGTGAGAGTGAGAGCGAGAGCAAGGGACAGATCCTCCATCCACTGATTCACTCCCCAAATGGCCAAGATCTGGGGCTGAGCCCAGTTGAAGCCTGGAGCCAGGAACTTCATCATGGCTTCCACATGGGTGACAGGAACTCAAGTACTTGAGCCACCACCCACTCATCATCCTGGCACATTATCAGGGAGCTGGATCAGAAACGTGGGAAAGCTCAGAGTTTCATGCAGGCCACCTAATTCTGAAGTCAAATTTTAAATGACACTATAGCTCTTCTTTTCTTTTCCTCCCAATAAAGGGAATAAAAGCCCTCAGTCAGAAAGTGCATGGCCCGTGATGGTTTTAAGTTGATTGATTAGTTCATTTATGTGACATAAGCATTATTCAGGATACTAGGAATTCAAATGGGGGAGATAGCAGAGAAAAAAGTAAATGCCTACAAAGGGGAAAATCGAATATTGAAAAACATTATGGAGAATTCCTAATAGGGAGATATGTTAGAAGTGCCTCTTGAGACTGGGTGGCAGGAGAAAGCCTCTTTGAGAAAGGTTGTATCTAAATGACAAATTAAACTTTCCATTTGAATTGGAGGATCATCATCTAGGTAGAAAGAACAGCTGGCTGTGGTGGCCAGGATGAGAGTGGCCAGGCTTCAGAGTGTAGAAGCTTAGGCATGAGCCAGTCAGAAAGAGCTGTGGGAGCATTGCACATGCTAGAAGTTTGCGTAGAGTTTGGATTTCATTGTTGTACTGATAAAAACTAGTTGGGGACTGAAGTTCCCATTGGTGAAGTAACTTGCTCAAAGGCACACAGCTGGGGACAACAGTGGAATTTTAACATTGTGGGCTTTTTTCTTTTAATTTTCCCTTCTTTATTTTTCAGAGAGAGACAGAAAAAGAAATTTTTCCATCCAGTGTTTCACTCTCTAAATGCCTACAACAGCCAGGATCAGGCCAGGGTCAGGCCAAAGCCAGGAGTCTGGAATTCCAGATGAGTTTCCCCACATGGTGGCAGGGATCTGAGTTCTTTTTTTTAATTAATTTATTTATTTGAAAGTCAGATTTAGGCAGAAAGGGAGAGAGAGAGAAGCTGCCATCCACCGATTAACTCTCCAGATGGCCGCAATGGCGCAGAGCTCAGTGAGGCCAAAACCAGGAGCTAGGAGCTTCTTCCAGGTCTCCCACTTTTGTGGCAGGGACCCAAGCACTTGGGCCATCTTCCACTGCTTTTCTCAGGCCATTTAGCACATTTAGCAGGGAGCTTGGTGGAGCAACTTGGACTTGAACTGGTGCCCACATGGGATGCTGGTGTTGCAGGTGGCAGCTTTGCCCACTATGCCACAACACTGGTGCTGGGAATTGAGTCCTTGAGCCATCCTCTGCTCCCTCCAAAGATGGGCATTAGCAGGAAGCTGGATCTGAAGTGCAGTAGCCGAGACTAACACCAGGCAATGTGGTATGAGATGCTGGAAACTCATCACTTAGTTTGCTATATCAAATGCCCACCTATGGACCTTGCATTCTTTATTTTTTTTTAGTTGTGATTTTTTTAAGCCTACAGTAGATGCTGTGTTACACAGGCTATGTGCCAAACTGTATGGTTTTGACTACAAGGGCAGTAGAAGTTCAATAAAGGAAAAATTATTGTGGATTGAATAGTCAGTGAATGGTAGCTCCTATGAGTTGGGAAGATTTGTCATTGAGTAGAGGAAAAGAGACAGTGTTTTAAATAAAGAGAGCTGTCATAAGAAAAGGCAGAGACGGAGAAAAGAGATTGATCTCATTGATGAAACATTGGCATCCTGCCTGGACTAGAAAGAAGGATGTGAGTTGTATGCAATTAAAAAATAAAACCGACAAAATCGAATTTTTCCAGTAATATTTTGGAACATCATAATAATCAGATTTATGTATAGGAAAATCACCTTGGCAGAAGTATAGAGAAAGTGTTAGTGAGGAAAGAGTCAAAATTAGGGATAGTAAGTGGTATTATTATTATTATTATTATTTACCTTCCAGGATGCAAATTGATGATTTGGAGTAATATAAAAATGTTAGAGAATGGGGAGGAAAAGATCAGTTCAGGGTAAAAGAAGGAGGCAAAACACATTCAGGTTCATGAGGACTTGGCTGTGGCTCATGAAGAATGTGTCACTCCCTGTTTTCTAACAAACCTAACTAAGCCTTGCAATAAACTGAGAATGTGTGTTGTCAGGGATTTGAAGCATATAGTAGAGAATTTTCCCCAAAACGGTGGACAGTCTCAGACATACCATTCTGTAGGTGAGAAGTATGTTCCATGGTCTCCTAAGTAACTAGGATCCTGGAAGCTTTTAAAGCAGGGAAGGACAGGCAAATGAGCAGTGATGTTAGGTGATACAATAATATCTGCATTAAAGAAAACTCTTAGATACATTACTGTTTGGGTTCCAAAACAGCCTTGTATAGCAATCCTCATTATTCTACATCCTACTCGGGAAGGTTAGAACTTGCTGAAGTTCATGTAGTAAGTAGGTAAGCAATAGACTAGGTATCAACTTTATGGAATGCTCTCTCCTTAACTTTTATTTTTCATTTAGAAATTAAGAGAAGCCTGGGGCCCAAGTGCTTTAAAGATGCCATTGTGTTCATTCCATTTGATCATAAACATACTTAAATAGTTGGCAAGAAAATATTTCAGGGATCTTATCTGTTTGAATAAGCTGTAGAAACCTATGGGGGCCGGTGCTGTGGCATAGCGGGTGAAGCCGCCGCCTGCGGTGCCAGCATATGGGTGCCAGTTCGAGTCCTGGCTGCTATACTTCTGATCCAGTTCCCTGCTTATGTACCTGGGAAAGCAGTAGAGGATGGCCTAAGTCCTTGGGCTCCTGCACCCATGTGGGAGATCCAGAAGAAGCTCCTGGCTCCTGGCTTTGGATCATCACAGCTCCAGCTGCTGCAGCCAATTGGGGAGTGAAACAGCATATGGAAGACCTCTCTCTCACTGCCTTTCCTTCTCTCCCTGTGTAACTCTGACTTTTAAATAAATAACTAAATTTAAAAAAAAAAAGAAACCTATGATGCAAGTCCCAGTAAGACATAGAAGACATATAAGGTTAACTCCATGTATGTATCAAATACATGTCAATGGAAATAATAGTGCTTATGAATATAGATTTTAATTTCCATATATTGACTTTTAAACTCTTATTAGCAACACTAATAATAGGATTCTGTTTCTTCTAAATGAAGACTTTAACAGCCTTTATGAAATAAAATGTATCCATAGAAACTAAAATCTCAGAATGGATTTGCTTTATTTTCATTCTACAAGTTTTAGGCTTTAAGAATAGAAACCAGCTTATGTCTTAAATTTCTATAGCCAGGCTGCTGCAGTCATAATAGACTTCCTGGCAGGTTGTACATCCAGACTGCAGGTGTTTTCAGCACATGTGTGAGACAAGCGTGGGCCTTACTCAAGGCCTGAATGAATCCAACTCAGGCATTTATTCTCTGTGGAATAGATGGTGTGGGTGATTCCACTGTGAAACAAAGCCCTGTTTGGAAGAACTCTCTTCCCCTAAGTTACCCTGGCAACCTTCTTTATTCTAGAGTTATTCTTCTGCTCTAGAATTTTCTCATAATTGGAATTTTTGGGTATTGGGGATATTTCCTATATATAAATGTTTAATATGTATTCAAGGGAATATTTCCATTTACACAAAAACATTACATGTAGAAATTAGCAGACTTGTTTTGAACAATGCAAATACCTCACTTAGTAATGGTGAAAATTCTAAAATGGATAAATAGATTGGAAAATTGTGAATAAAATTCTTCCCCAGGTCCCCTTCTCCCAAGACGATGGTCCAATACAAACCTTTTATAACTCCATGCCAAAGGTGCTTTATACTTAATTGGAGTGGGAGGCTGGCTGAAAAAGAATAGCTTACCTTTGTATTGTTTGACTTTTAGTCAGATACATTGAAAACTTGAAGTTCCCTCTCAAAGAATTAATTATTTATTCTTGCCAGTATACAAATATGCCTTAATATCACTTACATTAAAAGCCCACATTTCCCTTGCTGTCCACATCCTCTCTCTGCACCTGTCTTGTTTCTTGGTTCCCTGTCCTGAACATCCCTGCTGTCTGTCCCCGCCTCACTTGCTCACCTGCCTCCTCAGCATGCTCCAGCCGTGCTCTGGTCCCTGCCTGTAGCTGAAGTCGTTACATTTTGCCAAAGTCCATTCACTGCCCCTGCAGTATTCCTTACCTTAGGTGACCTGATGCAGTTGACCTTGAACCTCTCGTTAGCAGTTTCTGTGACACCACGTTTGCCTGTTTCTCATCCTTTCTACACAGTGGTTCATTCCTGGTATTCTGTTCTAGTTGCTTTTTCTCTTTTCTGTCTCCGTTGTCCATCCCTTGGTAGTCCCATTCAGACTCCTGGATCACGTGAACTTTCCAACTACATGTAATGTGTAGTTTAGACTCCACACACCCAGTTTCACGTTGCTCCTCCCCCCCCAGGAGGTTGTCATATCTGCTGTTTTTTTCTAATCTCAGTATTATACCCATCCTTCATTGCTCAGTCTGAACACTTTGAGTTCATTCTTTCTTTTCTTAAAAAATGTTATTTAAGGTATACAAATTTCATGTATTTCATATGTACAGATTTGGGAACATAGTGATTCTTCCCACCCTAC